AATTAATTTCTCCTTGTTTCCTATTGTTAATTCCTATACTTAATTTTATGAGGAATTTGCATGGATTAATAAAATCTGAGCACTTGGGAGGAAGAGGCAGGAAGATAGGGATTTTGAAGCCAGCCTGTGATGCAAGAGACATTGTATCAAAATACTTAAATAATCTGCTCTGTTTCTAAGGTTTATCAAGTGTTTTAATGGCAAACAACTGCTAAGCATGACAGGAAGCTCTATAAAGTGACTCCTGTACTTTTTAGAAGCCCCATCGATCATCTCCTTATATTCACACACCAGACTTTCACTACAGTTAAGAGAGCCAAGGAAGATATCATAGAGCCTTGTTTAATATAGTTAAGGAAAAGATACATTTAAAGACATTTTGGTTACTTTTATGTTGCTATGAAGAAATACTGCGACCAAGGCAACTTAGGAAAGAAAGCATTTAACTGGGGACTTGCTTACATTTCAGAAGCTGAGGCCAATATCATGGTGGGGAACCTGGTGGCAGGGAGCAGCTGGCAATATGGTGCTGGAACAGTAGCTGAAAGTTTCCATGTCGAGACATGGAAGCCATGAGGTGTGGGGGTATGAGAATGCTAATCGGGAATGTCCAATTCCCACTCTCACTGACACTGCCTTCAACTCACCTTATCTCTCCTGCTGTCTTCTCATTGACCTAAATAGCCTCCTTTCTGCCTTCCATATTCCATATAGTCCTACTTTTGCTTTCATCTGACACACAATACATATATTAATATATGAAAATAATAATTTATATAAAATATATATGACACATGAAATAAAACATTTGTCTTTCTCCCATTACCCTCTAGTTTCCCCTTCTCCTTGTCTGTGAACTTCTTCATTGCCCCTCACATTTCCTATTACACTTTCATGTCAGAGAGATAGATACAGGCAGACAGACAGATTTTTACATTTCAATCCATACTCTACACATTAAAAAATAATCCTTGTCTTTCTGAACTGGTTTGTGAATTTCTGTTTTTTCTTGTCTCATTATTACTGAATGAATTGTGGTGCTTAGTTTATACAGTCAACTTGATACAACCTAGAGTCACTTGGGAAGAGGGAACCTCAATGGAAAAACGGCCTCCATCAAACTGGCCTGAGGTTTTGTCTGTGAGATATCTTGTTGACTATGGAGGGGGAAGGGCCCAGGCTACTATGGACAGCCACACCTTAGGCAGGCATGAGTCAGTAAGCAAGCCGGAACAGCAGTGCTCTATGACCTCTGCTTCAGTTCTTGAAGTTCTTTTTGTGACATCCCTCAATGTTGGACTGTGACCAGAAGGATCAACTATATACCCCTTTCTTTTCTGAAGCTGCTTTTGGCCCAGAGCGTTTTACCATGCAAAATCAACAAGAATAAACATGCTCCTATAAACTGTATAAAATAAATACCAGGTGATGATTATATAATGTTATTGTATATTACATACATATTACTAAGTTCCATTTTTTTTTACTATCCAAATAGTCTTCTTACACTCTGTCTTAGGGTTTCCATTGTGGAGATAAAATATCATGACCAAAAGCAACCTGGGAAAGAAAGGATTTATTTCATCTTACAGCCCTCAGGTCACACTCCTTTGTTGAGAGAAGTCAGGGCAGGAGCCTGAGGCAGGAACTGATTCAGAGGCTATAGAGGAATTCTGTTTACTGGTTTGCTCCCCATAGTTCGCTCAACCTGCTTTCTTATACATTCTGGGACCACATGCCCAGGTGTGGCACTGTCTACAGTAAGCTGGACCCTCCCACATCAGCTATTAATCAACATAATGCTTTATAGACTAGACATACCTCCAAGCATTGTGACAGAAGCAGTTCTTCAGCTGAGGCTCTTCTTCCCAGATAACTCTAGCCTGTGTCAAGTTGACGAAAAACTAAGTACCATACTACAGAAAACTAGAAGAAATAGACTGTCATGAATATCTGTGATGCTCCACTGCATAGCTTCTAATGTGTGAGAATTCTTTCAGCTACATGATTTTTGAGACTGTTCTGCCAAGTAGGAAGTATAACAACATCACTGTGCCAAAATGAGTTACACTGCTGAACAACTTTGATGGCATTCTTATATTTAAAAAATACAGTGATATTTCTTCAAAACATATGGTGTTATGAACATGCATTGATATCATGAAATTGAAATTGAATATATTACTTAACTTTTATGTGTTTATCAATATACATAGACTCAGACATAAATAAGCTATAACAATATATTATGAAAAGTACAGGAGTATTATATTGTTGAGGTACAGACTGCAGTTGACACTAGATACTGGATTTTCCATGAAGATACAGATAAATATTTAGTGGATTTTGAGTTGGGTACTATTTGGTTTACAACTACTTCTAATACTAGGGAAGAAGAAATTGAGAAAAGGTAAAAAGAAAGGAAAAATAATACAGAGTTGATCCTCTGGCTTTGTCTTCATAAATATGTTTTATAAAAGTCTCTCTCTCTCTCTCTCTCTCTCTCTCTCTCTCTGTGTGTGTGTGTGTGTGTGTACACAAATCAAAGGACAGTTTATAGGAGTTGGTTCTGTCCTATCACAATAATCCTAAGGATGACAATCATGTCATCAGGCTCGGTACAGGCATCTTTCCCCCGTGAGCTGTCTCACTTGCCCCATAAACATGCCTTTTTAGTTTATCTGTCTAAAGACTAGGAACTTCATTTTATAATCATTTAAAATGCTTCCCAAACCTACCAGCACACTGGTATCAGGTAACAATTTTCAAATAAAACTGATATTTCTAGTCTACCTCCAAAATTACAGTAACAGTGATCTGGAATGTTTGAGCTTGGAAATTTTGGGGTTCAAGACAGGATTTCTTTGTAGCTTTGGAGCCTGTCCTGGAACTCATTCTGTAGATCAGGCTGGCCTCAAACTCACAGAGATCTGCCTGCCTCTGACTCTGCCTCTGCCTCCCGAGTGCTGGGATTAAATGAGTGTGCCATCACCACCACTCTTGAGCTTGGATATTTTTACAGGAGCTCTCTGTTATAATGTGCAAAGAGTTGCTCAGGTTCAGAAGACAATTCCACAAACTATGGCATTTTGCCATTCAGAAAACGTGGATATAAAGAGCATTGGAACACCTGAGAAACGGGCCCAGAAAAAAGTTCTTTCCTGTCTGTTCATCTTTATTTTTCCTCAAAGCAAAATGGCATAAAGCCAAGTCATGAAAAAAGTAGATCACTTGTGGTGGTTTGAATGAGAATTGTCCCTCAAAGTTGGGGTTGGTGGCACTGTTTGGTGAGCCTTTCTGGAGTAAGTTTTGTTACTATGGGTAGACTCTGAGAGCTGAAATCTCATACCACTACCAATTCACTGTCTGTTTTGTGCTTCAAGTTCAAGATGAAACCTCAGTTTCCTGGTCCTGCCACCATGCCTGCTGTCAGCTGCCACACTGTCCTCACCATTATGGATTCCAACCCTCTGGAAGGATAAACAAAAGTAAACTCTTCCTTTTATAAGTTGCCTTGATCATGGTGTTTTACCAAACAATAGAAAAATAATTAATACATAGCCTTTCATGCTCCAAAGCAAAGCATGAAATAAATGAACACTAACTCTCACCTATGCCTGCCTCTCAGTGAAATGAAATCTCCTCATCCACCATGCTCAGAGTAGGTCCACAAACCGGCCACCTGACCAGGAAGGACTGCCATGCAGAGGCTTACAACACTCTGAACAGAATGGTGCCAGTGACTCTCTCCCTCTTGGCCCTTTGCTCTTATTTTGGATATTATATAATTATCTTTTTATCTACAGTTCTACATACATACCTGTCCATTTTTTTCATGAAAGCTAAGCATAAAAATGGATACTTTCCTCCAATTCTTTGGACTTTGATTCATTTTCCACTGTCATTTAAAACTTTAAAAAGTAAATGTCCTGTTTTTCTTTGGTATGTCTTTTTCTACAGGAATGTTAGACATGCTACTTATGAGGGCGAGGAAGGGTATCACCCCCACCACACAGACCACACACACATTCCCATTATGTTTTAAGCTCATTTCATTTCTATGCCTGTGGCTAAGAAGAATATCCCTAATCATCCCATATCTAAAACAGAATACTGCAGAAAAGCTTAAAACAAACAAAACAAAACTAGAGACAATAAATGTAGGTATACATTATTATGAAACAAGGTAGAACATTTAATACAATGACAAACTGGACAACTTGCTAGTAATTCTAACAATGAACTTCTTCATTGCACAGGTATAAATAAGTTGTGTTGTGATTCCTTTACATTTATGCTTCAAGTGTATATATGAGTATACAGCCAGGCATAAGACCATGAAAAGTGTTAGCTTCTTGATATCAGTGGGGGCTAAATGATTCAAGAACACAAATGTGTACTACTCTTAAGTAAACTTAAACTTCCATCCAGTTAAAGTTTTTACAACGACTTTCCATAATACACATATGAAATAATTAGTAAAGATGGTTCTTAATTTAAAGGCTGTTAAACAGCTTGTAGACATCTGGTAACAAGCTGAAATGGGTCATTCAAAATTTATCTAACTAAATTAAGGGGGGAAAATGTTTCTCCTCCCAGGTTGGCATGTCACAAGATAACTAAACCGACTTAGTAGGCTTGCCTGGGAATCCTTAGCTGTCAGTGGTGAATATGCAAAGGGCCAGCAAATTAAATCAACCTGCCAAACTGTCAATTTCAAGCCTCATGACTGCATGAAAATAGCATCACTGGAAGAAATCAAGCATTGCCTTCTTTTGGGTTTCCTGGCATCTATTCAAATACTCATGCAGTTGTGGCTAATTTTGCATGCAAATTTCAGTCAATAAGCTCAGAACAAGACCTCCCAAGATATTTCAAAGGCTCTGACAGTATTTTTTCTGAATACCAAATCGACAGTAGTTGAAATTCAATCTCCATTTGCCAGTGCTTTACATATGCACACTGTCCCCACCACAGAGCTAAGTTAATGAGAGCCTTACCTGCCTTCACTCACGTCCTCCCAGCCGTCCTTGCTGAGGTTCTCAATGTGGCTCATAACCTTGATGGAGTGATTGAGAACAGTGTGGTGGCGACCCACAAAGATCTTTTTCTTGGCAGCTTTAAACTTCACCTTGGTAGTGCTTGTCTTGCAGTCGTACTGCCGGGCTCTCACATCTGTGGTGGCTATCTCAGATTTAGCTTTGTCGGTGGGATGGTGCAGTTTCTCCTCTTGACTTGCCACCTCTTCATTGTCATTTCCCAAAGCCTTGGCTTCTGCCACTTGTCTCCTCAAGGTAGTGACTTCCCTCTCCAGCTCGGTGATTTTTATTTGAAGTTCACCTTTGTCATTTTCTACATCTTTACTCATCTTCAGCAGGTGCTCTAACTCTCTTTCTCTTGCCTCTGAATCTTCTTGATAGTGTTTTAAATGGAATTTCAGTAAATCGTTTTCTTTCTTTAATTTTTTACTCCATTCTTTTAATTTTCTTGACTTTTTCTCAAAAGATTTTAGCCGATTTTCCAACTCAATGACCTAAGCAAGAAGGTTTAATTTATTCCTTTAAATTTTAAATCCATAATCTAAATCATTTTAAATTATCATTTCTAACTGATGAAAGAAAGTTACATTTAGCACAAGGACAAAACAAATCTAAAGCACTTAATTTCTAAATAATTCTAAGGTGATATAGGTGAATACATTCAAAAATGCAATAATGCATCTGCTGGATAAAGGACAGATGGTAAAAGAAGTTAAAATCCTATGCAAAGTGATACAGAAGTAAGGATGTCAATGAGCTGCAGATTGTAGGTGCTTTGGTTATACATTCTAACTGTGAAAAGAAAGATTTTCAGAAAAATAAACTGTTTACAGAAATAGCCTTAAAATAGGTTCATGGAGAAACTATTAATAAACACTTGACAAACACATTAAAAAGTGATGTGATGACAAAATAAATAATTTGTAAAGGTTTTATTTCTAAATTTGAAAGGTACCATTTTAATTCTCATTTTGATCCTTGTTTCACAGGATAAAATATTTTTTCAAAAATGTTCAACAATCTAAAATTATAAGAATTTGAAGGTTACTTTAAATGAATTTTTTCCATTTATTTCATTAAATATTGCTCCTGTTGCAGGACACAGTGACGGTCAAACACACTCCAGACCCAATGTATCAACAACCATTGGAAAGGCATACACTTGCACATCTTAAAGTAATGCATGATAGGATGTAAACTTTGTAGGTCTAAACATGAAACACAGAATTGTAACTCTTACAGAAGGAAGCTTGGATTTAGAACTTGAAAAATAGCAAGAAATGTTATTTGAAAAATAACACTTTGTGATTTTTCAAAATAATTTTATAAGTATAATTGAAACAAACTCAAAAACTGCTTTTTCAAAGACTCACTGACTCTCCTTTTGAGCCCACAAGAAGACTAAAAGCAGAAAGTCGACATCTATGTCTTTGTTTTGCATTTGTATGTTGGCTCAAGAAACAGAGATGAGTGACCCTCTCTAGTCTTGCCTATTGAGTCATCTAGAATTTCACAAAGAGCCATAGGGTCAGATAACTGTGAACTTCCAAATGAGGATAGCTCATTTGAGACCAAAAGGCTGCATTTTCAGTGAGTAATAGATTAACAATTTAACATGTCATTGGACCACCTTGATGATGGCTCTGAGCTGACATAATAATGGGCAGACCACACCTTGACCAAGACCAATTCACACTTTCTCATTAAAACTAAACCTAGAGCTCATGTCAGTACATATTATATGGACTATAGGGGAAATATATCACTGAAGTCCTTTATTCATTCCCTTTAGTAATGTGTTTTGGGGTTGGAAAGATAGCTCAGTCAGTAAGGACTCATCTCCAGCATGAGCATCTGAGATTGATCCCTAGAACTTACATACAAAAAGCCAGGGTATTCTAGAGCTGGAGAGGCAGGGACAGGTGGACTCCTGCCTCTCACCAAACAGCTAGCCTAGGCTACTTGACAGGTGAGTGAATTCCAAGCCAGTAAGAGACCCTGTTCCTGAGGTGGTCTCAGATCTCCGCAAGTATGCATATGCACACACCACACCACACACATAGGAATATGAACATGCAAGAAGTAAATTCTGATGGGTCTGATGTGGGAGGCTCTTGAACCTAGCTACTCAGGACATGCAAGACAGAAGGCTGCAAGCCCAAAGCTAGCCTGGCCTACAGAATGAGTTCAAACCCATCCTGTGTAACTTAAAAGACCCTCTGTCTGTCTGTCTGTCTGTCTGCATGTATGCACGTATATGTTCACACACTTGAAACCATTTCATTGAGCCTGAAAATGTATTTTGTAAACAGAAATAAATTGAGACAAATGCTACAATTTGAAGGCAGCATTTTATTATCATTAGTAGTACTTTATTGTGACTACAGGTTGACATAGACTATGATGCTAAAATGTGGAAAACTATACAAAAAATATATAATATGTATATTTATACCTACAAAACTCTCTATATATGCATGCATATATATGGTTGGGAAAATAAATTGTTGGTAAATAACTTGCCTATCATGCATGAAACCCTGAATTCAATCCTTAATGCCACATAAATGTAAACACTCATTAGTTAAAAGTAATAAATTTAACCATGAAATTTTAAAAATATAATTGATACAACTGCATAAGGCTAATATTAAAAAGAAAGAAATTAATATACTAATTTGGTTCAAGTTAACAGTTGTGAAGGGTGAAAAGAAGTCATAGTTTTTTTAGGCTTTCTTCTCTTGAGGAATAGTCACAGATTATGAATCTATATTAACAAAATTATATAAAACAGCAAAGAAAAATACTATTTTGAAATAAAGCTGATATGTTAATACAAAGTATAAAATATCCTAATTGATGGCATCAGTTTTTCATCTTTCTTCAAGATGAATGAATGTGAGCATGTCTCAATCTCTCGACTATTATGTTAACCTGTTATGTGTCCTTTGGTAGTACTGGAGTGACATCCTTTGTTATAGGACAATGGCAAATCTAGCATATCAATTTCTGTAGTTCATGAAAAGTACCTATAAGTTTATCCACAAGAAATAAAGATAGTAACGTAAAATGGTTTATATATGCTTGCATTTTTCAGTTGTTTTTTTTTTTTTCTTTGTGAACTGATGCTTTAAGAAAACCCCAAACAAACCCAGAGTAGCGAGGCAACAGTCAAGGAGTATATTATTTAAAGATGAATTTTCAATAATACTGCCAGTAAGTGTTCATGCACTTGAAACGATTTCATTGAACCTGATAACATATTTTGTAAACAGAAATAAATTGAGACAAATGTTACAATTTGAAGGCAGCATTTTACCATCCATGGTAAATGTACTGTATTGTGACTACTGGTTGACATAGACTGTGTTATTAAAACACAGAAAACTATACTAAATCATAGGATAAATTTTTATTGACAATAAGTCACACATATTTTCAAGTTTAAATTATAAAGATATCACCATTTTACTCTGGCACGGCTATAAATTAAAAGAAAAAAAAAGCAATCTATGACCATTGCAGAAGAGCAGAACCTCCAGACCCATTTGTAACTTGAATTGCTCACTTATAACTAATAAGTACATATATTCTAAATTTTGTTAACTTTTTTCTTTTCATTTTCTTCCCCCATCTATAAAAATATTTTTAATCTATGTCCAAGGAAGCACAAGTGTTTACACATTTATTTTTCTAACATTGATTTTTTTTACCCCATTTTGGCAAGCCAATGATTTTGAATTATGAATTTAAATTAAGGATTCACACAAGGTTTAAGTTCATGAGCTCTGGTTTTAAAATATAATCCTTTATGGTAAAATTCAGATTTAACTTGCTCAGCTCAATATCTTAAAGATTAGACTACCTTCTGTAATGTCTGCTCCGGTATTGCTTTCTCATTCTTCTCTGGAGTACTCTTCTTGACCCCAGCATCTTCATAGTGTCTAAAGAGTTGTTCTGGGAGCAAATGAATAATATATTATGGTATATCACATATTGCTGAAATACTGTACTGTCATTTTAAGAGGAAAGTTTTGCAGTTTTACAATTATGAATATTCTAGTCTATTGTCTTGCCAAGTATTTGGCCAGAACTAAATGGTGACCTTTCTCAAGAGTTTTTTTTTTTTTTTTTTTTTTTTTTCACATAATTACATCTCTTTGTAGTGTCACATTTTTCCCCTGAAGTATTAGAACTTTCAAAGGTACAATAGATCTACAGATTAACAATGCTATACCTTCATTCCCATGTTCATCCTTTTGTAGACTATTCTGCCTTTGCCTTAAAAGCAGTATTCATTGCCATTTTATCTACAGCCACTACTAGTTTTGTTCTGCTGATCCTGTTCCCTGCCAGGAGGATCAGAGTGATGGCTGAACAAAGCAAACAGTAACAGAATTAGTGACTGAAACCATAACAATGCATGAACCTTTCCTTCCACAAAGAGACTGTGCACAGGCAGGTTAAACCATAAAAGCCTCATTGCTGGAGGAGCTCTGACTTCCTAAGAAATAAACCCACATTCATAGGTGAAGTTGTTTGACAAATCACTCCTGCATGGGGTGGCAACTAGCCACACAGCTTTATCAGAGCAACAAAAACCTGCAACTAATTTACCAAGTAAAGGGACACACTGTCATAAATTTTTCATTAATATTAAAATTCATCCAAATCTAGAACTGTTTTATTTACAGATAAGTTACAGTGATGAAGTTACCTTTTTTTTTTTTTTACTGAATTCTTCAACTGTCTTTTAAGTATAATGTTCTTAAAGAACAAAGCAAGGATCAGAAAAGAATGCACAATGCTAAGAGGGTATGCATGTGTATTAGCTTACTTTTGCTTTAAAGTAAGCCCGACTGCTGTAGGTCAGTGTAAAACTTTGATTTATCAACAAAGGAAGAGAAAACAATATTATTCTCTGTAGAGTAGAAATCCTCCTGATAAAAACAGTGACTAACAAGTTTGTTAGAGTGAATTAGGCATTTCTTTTGTCTTTGAAACATGACATATTCAATTAAAACTTCTGTGCTCATGAAATAAATAGAACGCTGTCCTAAGAATAATAAAAGCTAGAAAAGGTAGAATTTGCCTCTTGGGGGAATACATACCTTTACCTTGATAATAATCTATCAGCTCCCAGGCTTCTTTTTCTAGTCCCCTAACACCATGGTGCTGAATTCATTTACAGCACTCTTCAGCAATATAGAAATAATATGCAAATATAATTCATCTCTTCTAGTCATTTAAATATCTCCTATAGTTCTGAGTGAAGTATTTGTCCTTAGAAATAATATAATAGTAATATATTCACATTGCACAGAGTACTAACAACATCTATATATTGTTAATGAAATAAACATGGAAGAATGATTTTGAATAGAATTTCCTTGCTGCATGTTTGGTCCTAGGTATATGAAAGGAATACTGGACATAGTAGCTGAGCATGTTCACCTGTAGATGTCTCCCAGAAAAATTTTTTCCTTGCCTTTATATCTTCTATAAAAACACTGAAGCAGTTAGGCTCAGACTGTGGAGTGAAACAAGGAATATACTCTTAGCCACTTCAGTTCAAATATCTCAGGATGTGAAAACTGAGGTAAGAGGGCTCAGTGAAGAAAATGACCCTCTCTCTCTCTCTCTGTCTCTCTCTGTCTCTGTCTGTCTCTGTCTCTGTCTCTGTCTCTCTCTCTCTCTCTCTCTCTCTCTCTCTCTCTCACACACACACAGCAAGTGTGCTTCATTCTACAAGAGATTTATTATATCATATGGTTTAAATGCTTTAATTTTTGCTAGCATTAAAATTCTTCCCAATTTATGTTTTTTCTCAGAAATTCCTTTTCTTTTTCTGCTTTTAAATACTAACTTTGTTAACATTTTATTTAAAATTTGTTTTATTTTAGTTTTTTTCCCCTTTTAATCTTCTCAGTTTACCATGGAGGTAAAGGGAGTTTCTCTCCTTTTCTTGGAGTCTAAATGCACTGAAATAAATGGAGATTTATAAGGGAAAATGAATACTACACACACTATGAAAACTGCAGAAGGACCAGATGGTCAAGTTTCAGCACCCTCAGCAAGAGAAAAAGAAAGATGGAGCAGGGAAATGAAGACATCTTTTAGGGGTAGGAAAACTGAGTGAGTCTGAGGGACAGACAATGACCCGAGACAGAGGTGAACACCGAAACTGCAGTGACACAGAAGGCTGTCTTTGTATGTCCTGGAGTCACCAGAACAGATGCTGTCTTTAAAGAGAATTGCCAAATACCTGTATGCTTGCTTTTCTATGACCAATCTTTGGTTAAAGATTTTAGAGAGGGGGTCCAAGTTAGATAAGATAATCCACAGCGTACTGAGCCTGACAGCAACATGCAAAGGAAAGTCAGATATAACTAGGTTATAAGGCTGCCAAAGGCTACCCAGTTTCCTTATTTCAAATGGCTCAGCATAGCTGGGGTATAGGGTGCACAGTACTCAGGTGTGGAAGAAAGATCTTGGGATCCAGGTCACCTTGGACTGCATACAAAGATTCTGCCTCATGCCAAAGTGTCACTAGTTTGAGCTATTTTTTCCAAGTCCCAACATTCCATTGAATAATTAACCTAAATTATTCTGTAACTTTTTACTGTTAATTATTCTTTTATATTCTTATTTTAATTATAGTAACATTATTTTAAAAAACTATCATACTTTTTCTGATTTTTCCCATTTTAACATTTAATAATTACATTCATTTTTGATAAATTGTGAACTTGGTTTAGCATTTTTAATTTGATTTCTACTAGATTTATTTGAAATACTTAATAGCAAAATACAAGTGGTAACCATCCTAAATTAGTGTTAAAATTTATTCTTATTTGGTACTAAATATAAAGTCATTTGGCATTCAATAGGTTGTATTTTTACATTATTTAATGACACAATACATTTTATTGTCCCAAATGAAAGAGAGAACATGGAAAAGGGTTAGTGCAAACTGTATTCAGCCAAATGAAACAAACAACCTAACTCTTGATTTGAACATGTCAATTTTTGTACTATCCTAAGGGTACCAATGACTAATATCATTAAAACTTACCTTATTTCTTCTATTCTTTGGACTTTTATTGATAAGGAAGCGATAGCTATATTTTTTGTTATTTTCTTGATCTGTGATCAAGAAAACAAAAATACTAAAGAAGATAACATAGTAGAAAACAACCAATTGCATTTTGTGTGTATATCTTAGTAATTTTAGTAATTAGCACATATTTTTCTATGATTTTCAATCATTACATAATAATTCTGTATGATACTTTTTAGTACACATAGCATTTATTTATTTGTTTGCATATTGAATAAGTATGTCAGCATGACTGAATCTACCTTCAGTTGAGTTAGATTATACATGACAGTATTACCTTGACAGTTTACTTATTCTCAGTGTCACTAATACTTTCTTCAAGTCAAATTATTCATTAAATGGCTCTTCCACTATTTGCAACTGCTACTTTTAAATATATTCCTTAATTCTACAATAGTAGAATTCTAAATAATAAGTTTATTTTCTGTTTCTTTTCTTTTTAAATTGAAAAGATTCTTCTCCTATAATAATTCCAATCATAGTTTCCCCTCCTTCCACTCCTCCTAGTTCCCCTCTTCCCCAGATCCACCAGCATCCATTTCCTCTTCAGAAAAGAGAAGGCCTCCAAGAGACAACAGCCAATAAATACAAAATAAGACACAACAAGGCAAGCAAAAGAAGAACTTGTGGGAGTGACTAACCAATTTTTCTGATTTTTAAAAAGTGTTTCTATATGTTCACCATAGTCCTTTCATAAATCTCTCTCTCGCTCTCTCTCTCTCTCTCTCTCTCTCTCTCTCTCTCTCTGTGTGTGTGTGTGTGTGTGTGTTGTTACTGCTTCCTGCTTCTATCAGTCCCCTTTGTCCCCCTGATAGTTTTACTTCTATATACATGTCACAAACATATACACATATAAAATACAGAGCCACAATGAAAAAAAACATATATTTGTCTAATACTGGCCTAATTTACTTAATATTATTTCATTTCTTCTTTGTTCCTGCAAATAGCATAGCTTCAATCTTATGATGGAAAAACAATCCATTGTGCACACATACTACATTTGTCTACGCAGTCCTCTGATTTTGGGTGCTTAGATGGGTTCCATAACTTAGCTACTGTAAACAGTGCTACAATAAGTACCAATGTGCAAGAAACCAATGTGCAATTTGTCTATAAGATGCTGATTTGGAATTGTGGACTCACAGTTTTTGCTTTTATTTCTTAATTTGGTTCTTTTTCATTGCTTGAATGTTCATCTATGTATGTTTCTGTTTTCAAAACAATATAGTTGCTTTTATTTTTATTTTTTGTTGGTTTTTTGAGACATGGTTTCTCTGTATTGTTTTGGAGGTTTTCCTGGCACTTTCTCTGCAGACCAGGCTGGCCTTGAACTCACTGAGATCCATCTGCTTCTGCCTCCCAAGTGCTGGGATTAAAGGTGTGTGCCACCAATGCCCAGCCAATATAGTTACTTTTAACAATAAAACAAGACACCTGTCCCAATTGTAAAGGAAGAAGTGGAAATATGTTTCAGTAGAAGAAAGAGAAAAGATCCTGGCAAGGGAAGAAAAATGAAAACAAAAACCATGTTTCAGGAGCCAAAGAAGGAGTAAATTCATAATTTTGTGAAAACTAAAAGTATAAAATAGAAATGTTAAAATACTGATAAATCACTAACAACATATTTACAACTGAATCAGTAATAATGACTGAGAAAAGGCTACAGGAGGAGTTCACAAAAACAATCACTAGGTGTGGTGACAACACCTGAATGGCAGAAGTTGGAAAGAATCTTATCATATTAACCTGATTTGCTTCTTCTACTAAGATATTGAAATTGCATAGTAAATACAATTGTCTTTACTTTTAACATAGGAACAATTTTACACTGGTAACATAGGTGCATCCCCTATCATGAGACATTTGGTCATAGTGGTCACACACTTGAAATGAACAAAGCTTCCAACCCCACAAAGTTAGAAAGACCTAAATACCCTCAAAATCTTGTAATAGCAAAAGAAAATATGAATAAGTCATATGTTAAATCAATTATAAATATAAGAGCAAGTATAAGTAGGAGAACTTTACAAATGAACAATAAAAATAATTATTTCTATCCTTATCAAATATTACTTTACATTTTTACATGAAGAGAAGGGGGGGTCAGGGTCCATGTAGAGTGAGTGCTCCTCTTCAAGATTTACTAGGGATCTGGGGTTGAACTCAGCTCATCAGGCCTGGGCAGCAACAGCTTTAGCAGCTGAGCCATCTATCAAGTCCCATTTAAAAGTTTTAAGAAATTGTGAGCATGTTCCAAGTAGAATATTTTGGAGTTTACTGTATTTGACTTTCTCATGAGACATAAAAATTAAGTGTTATAAATCAATAACATGGCACAAAAGGGAGAAACTAAGTAAGATTCTTAAATTGAAAAAACTTTAATAATACTAAAGACTTATTTTAATTAAAAACTTACCTTCTCTTTTCTCTGCCATGCTCCTGTTCAATTCTTGTATGGTTGTTTTATCAATAGACATCTGTACTTTAAGCTCATCCAATTCATCTTGAAGATTCATCCTATGAAAAATTCAAGTAATTAACAATTACATAAAATTTGTAATTTAAGAAAAGGTTTAGTAAAAAAAAAGCTACAAAGACAATTGAAAAGTCGAAAATAGTAAGATAAAATAAAAATATAGTAACTACATATATTCAGTTATACAGTAGCATGCAAATATATTTCTATGAGGGTATTTTTTTAGTATGTACTATGAACTTCATTACAACAACAAACATGACAAATACATATGTGTATCAGAAGAATGACTCAGTGTATAGCCTGAGCTGGCTTTAAATTTACAATTTTGCCTTGGCCTCTTGTGTGCTGGGATTATAGGTACATACTACAATAACCAGCTAAAGAACTCGTGTGTGTGTGTGTGTGTGTGTGTGTGTGTGTGTGTGTGTGTGTGTGTGTGTGTGTGTTTGTGGGAGGGTATAAGGCAAAAAACTGTAACAGAGACCCACAAGAAAAAGAAAAGTGTTGAGGGGGTGGGGAGAGTAATAGGACATATACGACATGAACTTGAAAAGGAGACTACAGGGCAGTGAGGAGGTGGAAGGGTCTAACAGGTGATTAAGAGTAGCAGGAGGAGAAGGGAAGCAGGATCAACAAAGACAATTTAAGTTTGAAAATATCATAATAAAACCTAATACTTTGCCTGCTAGCTACTTTTTTTTTAACATCATGTATCAAGGCTAGGGAGACAGCTTAGTCTGTAAAGTTCTTGCTGTATAATCAAGAAGGTCTGAGTTCTATTTCTCATGCCCATATAAAGAGTGTAAAAAGCCACAAAGGGTGGTGTGTGCTTGGAACAGTTGTGCTAGGGAGACAGAGACAGGAGGATCCCTGGGACTCACTGGCCCATGGGCCCAGCCATTGAAAATTTCTATCTCTCAATAAGTCTGGGTAATGAAAGGGGAAAGACATGGAGGAAGATTTAGCCTTGGAGATTATGAGAAAATCTGCTGTAAATCAAACTGAGGACTGACTGATACCTCCCAAGTCATTATCAAGGATGTCATATAAGGAGGCCAACACATAGTATCAAAAAAAGATGATAATCCCAACAAAAGATAGTTTTCAATAGAAAAATATGAAGAAAATACCAACATTGAAATAAAGAAGGCAGCACAAGATCTGAAAGAGGCAAGACAGAAGTCAGGAAGGAGATGAGAAGACAGCTCTCAGGGTCAGATGGAAACTTAGTTGTAGTCCCAGTAACAGGACAGGTCCAGCAGAAGAAAAAATAACAGAGCATGAAGACAGGTCTTTTGAATTGTTATTGTCAGACAGAAAAACAAAAGAGAAGTAAAAAGGCTTGAAGAGAAAATACAAAAGTTTGGGACACCCTTACTATTTACATATTTGGATCTTTGGCAACCAGAGAGAAAAGAGATACAGGTTGAGAACACTATGAAAAAGATAATAGCTTAAAACTTTCTAAATCTTGGGGAAGACATGGATATCTTAGTATAAGAAGTATTTAGAACTAAATAGAGAATTTGCAACAGAGGAACCTAAAATGGCTGAAAGTCACATAAAAAAGTGCTCAACATCCTTAGCCATCAGGGAAGTGCAAATCAAAACAACTCTAAGATTTCATCTTACTCTTGTCAGAATGGCCAAAATCAAAAACACCAATGACAGTTCATGTTGGAGAGAATGTGGAGAAAGGGGAACACTTCTCCACTGCTGGTGGGAGTGTCAACTTGTACAGCCACTTTGGAAATCAGTATGGCGATTCCTCAGAAAAATGGAAATCAGTCTACCACAAGATCCAGCAATCTCACTCTTAGGCATATAACCAAAAGAAGTACATTCATACAAAAAGGACATCTGTTCAATGATGTTCATAGCAGCACTATTTGTAATAGCCAGAAACTGGAAGCAGCCTAGATGGCCCTCAACTGAAGAATGGATAGAGAAAATGTAGTACACTTACACAATGGAGTACTACTCAGCAGAAAAAAACAATGGAATTTTAAAATTTGCAGGAAAATGGATGGAACTAGAAGAAACCATTCTGAGAGAGGTAACCCAATCAAAAAAAGACAAACATGGTATGTACTCACTCATATGCAGATTTTAGACATAGAGTAAAGGATTACCAGCCTACAATCCACACTGCCAAAGAAGCTAGTAAACAAGGAGGACCCTAAGAGAGACATACATGGTTCCCTGGAGAAGGGGAAAGGGTCAAGATCCCCTAAGTAAATTGGGAGCACGGGAAGAGGGGGGAGGGAGCTAGGAGAATGAGAAGGGGAGAAGAGGAGGGATGCAGAGGACATGAGGGAGCAGAAAGGTTGAGCCAGGGGACGAATAGGTGATAACAAGAATGGAGATACCATAATAGAGGGAGATGTTTTAGGTTTACAGAGAAATCAGGCACGAGGGAAATGTCTGGAGATCTACAAAGATGACACCAGCTAACAATCTAAGCAACAGAGGAGAGGCTACCTTAAATGCCCTCCCTTGATAATGAGATTGATGACTGACTTATATACCATCCTATAGCCTTCATCCAGCAGCTGGTGGAAATAGAAGCAGACATCCACAACTAACTGAACTAAACTGGAATCCAGATGCAGAGAAGGACGAGTGAAGGAAGAGCAAAGGGTCCAGACCAGGTGAAACCCACAGAAACAGCTGACCTGAACATCGGGGAACTCTTGCTCCCCAGACTGATAACTGGGATACCAGCATGGGACTGATCCAGACCCGAATATGGGTTTCTGTGAGGAAACCTCAGAAATCTGCAGGACCTCCTGTAGTAGTTCAGTACTTATCCCTAGCATAGGTGTGGACTTTGGGAGCCCATTCCATATAGAGGAATACTCCCTGAGCAAAGACACATGGGGGTGGGCCTAGGCCCTATCCCAAAGGATACGATAGACTCTGATGACACCCTATGGAAGGCCTCACCATCCAGGGGGAGCAGAAAGGATATGTGATAGATAGGGTTTTAGTGGGTGGGGGGTGGTGGTAAGGAAGGATGGGAGGGAGAAGGGAACTGGGATTGTCATGTAAAACAATCCTGTTTCTAATTCAAATTTTAAAAAAAAGTTAAAAAAAAATAAGTATTTAGAACTTCAAATACACATGACCATAGAAGTCTCTCACCATGGCATAATAAAGTTAAGTTGCTAAAGTGAAGGACAAAGAAGCAAGCATTATAGTCTGCAAGAGAGTAACACATAAAGGCACATACATTGGACTAATGGTAGATTTCTCAGAAGGAATTCTTCTACATGCCAGGAGGACACAGAGTCATGGATTTTAGGTCCTGGAAGAAAATAATTTCAACCAAGTTTTTTAACCCAGCAAGGTTTTGCTTCACATTGAAAGAAGTAAGGGCCTTCAAGAAAAAGGAAAAATCAAGGGAACTCATGGTCAATAGATCAGAAATACAAAAGATGCTCTAGGGAATCATATAGCCAGATGAGAAAAATATCTGTAAATACAATCATTAAGAACATGAATAACGGGGTGTTGGTGGCACAAACTTTTAATCCCAGCACACGGGAGGCAGAGGCAGGCAGATCTCTGTGTGTTCGAGGCCAGCCTGGTCTCCAGAGCGAGAGTGCCAGGATAGGCTCCAAAGCTACACAGAGAAACCCTGTCTTGAAAAACAAAAACAAACAAACAAAAAAGAACATGAATAACACTTTTCTGCCAGAGCCCACCTAGTATAACCCCAAGTGCCCAAGTGCCCCTCCTCTCCTTGTTACCTTAATTCAGCTCACTATTCTGGCTAAAGTCCCCTCTTCCACCAGAAACCAGGCCAGCATCCAGAACCCAAGGTAATTCTGCCCCTAACCCCACCCACACTCACACAGCATAACTCCAACTGCTCCTCCTCTTATCATCATCATATCCCATTCCACAACTCCACCCCATCAGAGGCCTGGCCAGTTCCTTGAAAACTAGGTAAGCCACAACTCCACCACCTCTGCCCTACCTGCACCCACTCAGTATAACCTCAAGTGCCCAAATGCCCCTTCTCTCCTTGTCACCTTATCCAGCCCATTATAGGAGCCATATGACTTCTTCAGGGTCCAAGGTCTGAGAATAGCACAAACCGCTCTCCTTGTGGCAAGTCCCTAGAGATCCTGACCCAGTTGACAAAGAGCTGTGGACTGTTTGTTTCGTGATTCTGGGCATGATTAAGCTTATGTGCTGTATGCTCTCCTTGCTTTCACTATGCTAGCCATACTGCTGGACTAATGAGTCACAGTAGGTCATGAAGTTTAATATTACATATTTACAAAACTTCACAGATAATAGTCTTTGAGAAATGTTATTAAATAGATGATATCAGGAGTTATTGTGCACAGTCTAGGACTAGGGAATGAAGCAGAATCACAGAAACTCACAGTTCCCTCATTTCTAATAACTGTGCCAATACCCCAAGAAGTATTGGAGTCCTTAAGGAGAAGGACACAAGAACAAGGGATGAACAGTGCCAACTGTTAAGAGAAGAGTAAGTTTCCAGGTTATATTGCCTGTAGGATAAATGGAAAAACTTGGTATATCCCTAGAGGAGATAGAGTAGGACAGAATGTAGAATGGATTGACTCAGCTTTGGCTGGTGAGTTGATTTCGAGAACCCAGATCCTACCAGATACAAATATTAAGCAAGAGGGACAAAACTGTCTCTTACCCTACATGATGCTGTAACTGCATATGCTGCCAACTGGGCACACTGTTCTGCCTGTAGATGTGCCTAATCAGAAAAGTTCCTTTGTAGCATGCAAGACTGCTTATGCTTTTAGAAGTAGAGATATAGATTTTTTTAAAAAGGTAGTAGTAGCTACCTGTGAGAAAGTTGGAAAATGGAAGGGGAAAAGAAGCTAGGAACAAACTGGCAATTATTGTTAACATTTTTAGAAACTTAGGAAGCAAAACTGATTGTAAAACTGTTCATGCAAACCACTGAAAGTGCATAAATAAACACAGTTCAAGCTCTCCAAGGACACTTGATTGAATGACAATAGCTGGTCAAAATTTCATGGCA